CATTTATTTATATTTGGATAACTGAAAAGCCATAATGCAACAAAGCCTAGACAAAGTCATACAAGATAAACAAGGGAGGTGCTGATCCAGAAGCTTCAGCAGGTGCAGAATGCAGCAGTGCACTTGTTGACTGGGATTTCTGTGCGGGAGCACATTCAGCCTGTGTTGCTCCAGCTGCATTGGTTGCTGTTTGAGTACCGAGTCAGGTTTAAGGTTATGGTATTAACCTCTAAGGCCCTATGTGGTCAGGGACCAGCATACCTGCGGGACTGTCTCTCTCCATATATACCCCGAAGGGCCTTGCACTCTTCAGACCAGCGCTATCTAGTAGTCCCCAGCCCGGCCTTACCCCAACGGGGGCCCGGGCCTTCTTGGCTGTGGCCCCAGCCTGATGGAACATACAATTGAGATCAGGGCCCTGTGGGATTTGTTATAGTTCTGCAGGGCCCGTAAAATGGAGTTGTTTTGCCAGACCTTTGGTTGAGGCAGTGGACATCAAATAACATTGGCCTCCTCTACCTCAAGTGCTCCAGGATGTCGCACCAGGTGCAGTATAATGGGCACCAGGTGCAGTACTTTTAATACCATCAGACTGATCCACCATCCCTCCTGGCATGAGTTCAGCATACTTTGTAATTGGAATTAACTGTCAAACTGCCAGTTTTAAAATATTTTTAAAATCCTGTTTCAATTAATGCTTGCCCTGAGTCCACTTGTGGGATAGGGTGGGATATAAACCACAAATTTTTTTTTTTAAAAAATTCATCAATCACCCTATATAGTAGATTCATTTAATTCTGGATTGTGTTAAGCTGCAAAATCACAGTCCAGTAGCTGCTTATACCAGGGTATGTATTTTGAATTATAAAAGTTTTCAGATCACTGTTAGTCAGATATTTTTGTTTATTCTTTAAAGTCGGTTGGTAAGAGATCAAGTCGTCCTTTTATTTCCATTCAAATACACAAAATGTTTAGCTAATTATTAAATTGTATTCACTTTGTCCTTTACCCCTGTACATCGTCTAGTTCTTATGTGGTGCAGGTTTAGGAGGCAAAAAGAATGGAATGATAAACGCTAGTTAAAGTCTGATTTTGTTGTTGTTGTATAAAGATATTTACATCTAATTAAGGTCATACAAGCATGGTACAGGGTACCTGTGTGCCTAGGATTTGTGTCAAGAGTAACATTCTTCACTGACGGAGGGTTTTTCCACTGATTTACTTTCTCCCATTTAAAACTCCCTGTTGTGTCAGGTGTTGTTCCCAGGGGTACCATGAATCCCAGGGACAATGTATCAGAGGGCGCAGGTGGCTGCAGCAGGAGGGGACTGGAAGAAAAGTTCCATTCTACAGGCAGAGCTCTTCTTGCAGGGGAGGGTGGGATACAAATCGAATCAGATAAATAAAAATAATTTTTTGAAGCTCATTGGGTGCAGCTCATATTCTGAAACAGCATGAGGCACTGCAGATGTTTTTCAAAGTTGAAAAACCAGAGCACAGCACTAGCTCTATTGTAGAGATCACACTGATTACTTATTTGGTTGAGGGGACTGAAACTAGCTTTGCTGTTGATAGTTTGAAGCAAGGGTGTGGTCATGGAAAGTATAATTTTTTTAAAAAATTCTGTCACTGGTCTAAAAAGGTATAATTCGTCTTTGGTCTTCTGTGCAGGCACATAGGGGACTGCATATGTGAAGACCTGCCGACGGAGAGGATTTTGTAGCTTCTAAGGAGTGGAGAGGGTGTCTCTCCCTTTGGCTCATGCTCAAGCGCTCCTGCTAAAAGCGTGCCAAGGATGAGGGGTGCTATTTCCCCTCAGTTCTAATTTTGCTTCTGAGCTGCGAGGATCTTCTAGCTTTGCTCTGTTTGCTCATCTTTTACATTTCCCCATGTCCCTTCATGGGATTGCTGAGTTGGTATCATTTTTTCATATCTACCTTGCCATAGCTCAAAGTCTTTTATTTAAGAAGTGCCCTTTAATGTGGCACAAAAATGCCTTGTTCAGATGAGCACGTTCTCTGTTTGGTGTGCCTTGGGGAAGCCCATGATATGCCCTCCTGCCATATCTGTCAGCAGTTTACTCCCAAAGCCAGAGCAAATAGGGCTTCTTGCCTCAAGTAAGCCCTTTGGAAACATGTCCTTTCAAGTTCTGATATGCTGGCAGTGAAGTCATCTGCCTTGCGTGAACCTATTCTGAGGGCCAAATCTTGTCATTTCTGACCTCAGATCCACATTGCCTCCAGTCCCATTCTCCAGAACCATCAACAGATCAACAGAGCTCATCTGAGCCCCCAGTGAAGACGTTGCACTCAAAGTCCAAGCATTCAGACAAGGCTTTTGGATCCGAGCTTCTCCAAGCAACCAGATAGACATTCCAGGACCCTGGCCCCTGAACCTTCAGAGCCGATACTTCTGGGTTGCCTCACTGATTCCCCGTACATCTTTGCCACAATTTGGGGATCCTGTTGGTTCAGACTCTGAAGCTGAGCCTGTTTCAGTTTGGGAGGTTCTGGTGCAGATGGAGAAGTCACCTCCACCCCTGCAGCCTTTGGGTGCAGCACAGCAGGACAGGCAGCTTGTGCCCTCTCAGCCCTTGGACCTTGGCAGTTCCTGTACCAGCAGGTCTCTTGGCCTTCTTACCCTCCATGCCCACAGCAATTGGGCAAGCCGCCAACTCCGGATCCAGGTTCTTTACGCAAGCATTTATCTACTCCCCCCCCCCCCAGGGCTGTATTTTCACCCAGATTCCTACTCTACAAACCACCGTAACAGAGCTACTAGCATTGAAGTTGTGAGCGAGCCTGCATATGACTATCGTGTAAATTAGTTTTTTAGAAGATTATTACCATAACCATGTTAAAATCTCAGAATGAATTCTTTTAAACTATATTTTAAGAATGATTTAAACGTTGTAGAATCCTAAAAGAGATGGACTAATCTCAACTGAGCTTGCAAGTCAGTTCTAGTTGTAACTGAGATGTCATTTCTATCTAAAAACCCTTACACTTAAATGCATATTTCTATATCTGACAAAGCTTTGAGTGAGTCACCGGTAGGTATCAGGATGATCCAGTACAATCACCCATTCATTCCAACGCACAACATGCCTCCTCAAGCATGACACTGAGTACAAACAAGGGAAAGCAGTGCATGCTGAAATTATTTGTTGCAATAACCTATAGTTACAAAACTTACAGTGTGCCTTTCAACACAGTTGGGCTTCTTTTGTTCAGAAAGGTTGTTTTTTCTTCTTAGAAGAAGAAGAGATTGGATTTATACCCCACCCTTCACTTGGAGTCTCAGAGCGGCTTACAAACTCCTTTCCCTTCCCCTCCCCACAACAGACACTTTGTGAGGTAGGTGGGGCTGAGAGACCTCTGGCAGAAACTGCTCTTTTTCAAGATCACCTCTGACAGAACTATGGCTTGCCCAAGGTCATCCAGCAGGTGCCAGTGGAGGAGTGGGGAATCAAACCCAGTTCTCCCAGATTAGAGTCCGCACACTTAACCACTACACCAAACTAACTCTAACTGGCTTCTTAGAAGTCACTTTAGCGCATATATATATATTAAAAGTACATGCATTTAATTCATTGGTACCAAGGAAATATTAAAGGGTATCAATGATTATTTGTTACAACGTAATGCTATTGGAGCAAACACTCGGGCTTTGCCACCTCACTTTTAAAGCGACCAACCATGCGGAAGGACTGCTTCTTCGCTCTCCCTGTCTAAAGCCAATCGCCTTTGGAGGGGGAATTTCACTGCGCAAACACCTTGGTTGCAAAGACCAGGCTTGTGCACATTTACTCGGCATTTACTACTGTGGGTTGGGAAATACCTGGAGATTTTAAGAGTGGAGCCTGGGGGGGGGGGCAGTTTTCTGTATTTGAAGCATGTGCATGATTTCAGACAAAGCGACACAACATGCCAGCCTTCCTAGATCCTGCCCAATGCCTTTTCACCTGGTGGGCACTGCAGAGGAGAGGACTGGAGATCCGCCTGCATCCTGAGCCTTATCCCACACCACAATTTGCAGGGGGTGCTGGGGGAGCACCCTGTGCAAAAGTGTAATATGCAAACTATAATCAGCACCCATGCTATAGCTGGACTGGCAGAGAGGAGGATGGACAGGCCTTGCTCCTAAGGGGAAGGTATGGAGGAGTTCCCTCCTTTCTTCCTGCTTCAGCCTGGCAGAGCCATCTTGCCTTTATCTGCCATTAGAGGGAGGAAAATACAGCCTATCTGCAGCTGTCTGTATGTATGTGCTTTGCCAATTTGCAGAGGTGCAAAGCTGAGTGAGTCTTGAAGCCAAATA